ATGAATGAATGGGCGTTTCTTTGACTATTTATAGGCAAATATGGGCGTTACGTGAAGCCCGCAAAATGGCGGAAAATGTATGTACCTATTTTTCGGATTTCTACTACGTAAGCAACCTTCCCACGTCAATCCTACGCACGGCGTTATAAATGAGGCCCCAGGTCCGGACTCAAGTCCAGAGGTTCAGGTTCAGGTTCAGGTCCAGGTCCGGACTTATAAGTCCTGACCTGGGGCCTCATTTATAACGCCGTGCGTAGGATTCACGTGGGAAGGTTGCTTACGTAGTAGAAATCCAAAAAATAGGTACAGAAATGTTCCGACATTTTCCGATTCACCAAACATTGCGTACCGGCGAGGAAAGTGCGTACAGCACTTCCTACGCCGGTTTCCCTTTATAAATCACAATCGACTCGAAATGCGGTGCAGCTTTTGCGAGCTTCACATAACGCCCATATTTGCCTATAAATAGTCAAAGAAACGCCCATTCATTCATTTTGACTGACTTTATGAAGAAGATCGCAGGAAATGACGACAGAACAGCTAAAAAAGACATCTCACACCGTGCAAGATGTTGGTTATTTTGGGGAGGTCGAGATAAATCATATTGTTTGGTGGATGCAGTTTGAACCAGAGTAGCAGCACCCCTGCGAAACGTAACCATGGTTGACCATGGTCACCATGGTATTCCATTGCCAACCATGGTAATACCATGGTTGACTACAAAATTCCATGATGGTCATAGTACCATGGGGAAGAAACCATGGTCTACCATGGTCCACCATGGTCAACCATGGTCAGCCTGCCATGGTCACAGTACCATGGGGAAAAAACCATGGTCTACCATGGTCAACCGGACCATGGTCAGCCTACGATGGTCACAATGTCATCTCCAGAAACCATGGTCAACCATGGTCAGCCATTTGAATATTTGAACCATGGTCTCAAGAAACCATGGGCGACAATCTTTCTAATGAGGCTCATGCCGGCACCGTCACCTGATGAATGTATATAAAATAGTCTTTACATTTTCACCAACTGTTTAATGAGCATTTAATGAGTGTGTGTGCAACTATAGAGTGACAGTGTACTGTAGACTATAGAGTGACAGTGTACTGTAGATGAAATTAAGTGCAATTAACATGATCTATACAAATATTTTAAAATTAAATGCTTGAAACTATTGAAAAGCTTGTATTAATTTATATTATTTCCAGTCTGGTGGACCATGGTTTATGTCCATGGTACTGGTGGACCATGGTTTATGACCATGGTAGACCATGGTTTATATCAGTGCTCTACCATGGTAGACCATGGTTTATTGTGACCATGGTAGACCATGGTTTATATCAGTGCTCTACCATGGTTGACTGTGGTGCCATATCCCAACCATTGTCTACCATGGTTATACCATGTTCTACCATGGTAGACCATGTTCTACCATGGTAGACCATGGTTCATTTATTTATTCATTTTATAAATCGCAAACATTGCGTAGAAACTGGCGTACGCCATCTTTTGAGCGTATATCGCTTTACAAATGAGGCCCCTGAACCCATGGCTTGTGTCAAGTTGTGTGAGTAACTAAAGTGAACTTATTGTGAGCTAATTATCAATTGAAAATAAACTCATAATCAACTCAAATTCAAACTCGTCAGGTTTATTGTGCTCCCTTCCAACTTGTGTCTACATTTCTCTACAAAGTACAAATGTAAAAAAAAAACGTTTTGCCACTTAGTCTACAAATGACTTATGACAGCAACTACTACAAAGTTCAAACATTTATTTCATTTACCAAACTAAAGTAACCAAACAGTCCCTGAGCTGACTGAGCCTAAATCCCTAAAACTTTGCTGAAAGGTAGAGTGTAGACTATACGCATTACACTGTTACACACCTACAGTACTATACAGTATACACTGTAGTGACTGTACAGTCAGAGTGTACTGTACTGTCTGTACACCATGTATTTTCTACAACTCTACATGTGTACATTATACAGAGTTTGCGTGGAGGACCGCACATTTTCCCGTCAAGTTTTTTTTTTATAATTCTTAAACACAGAAACTGGCGTACGCCATCTGTTGAGCGTACGCACCGTTTATAAATAAGGCCCCAGGCCACGGAATAAGTAGTTCAGCCAACATGTTGTTTGACCTTTTTGTGATAGTTTTGACTGTTCTAAACAGCCAGTCCACCAACAAACTAAACGTATTTTACAAATGCCCTATGATTCTCTAACAAACAGTGTGGTTTGCAAATACAAAACACCATCTACAAACCAATGCATTTTGTCATTTTGTCTATCAAACAAACACATTACATTTTTCTAGTAAATCATGTTTCAGAAACAAATAAAGTATCTTAGAACTGGAACATTCACCTGGTGCCAATATTGTCAGATTTTCATAAAAAAGACTACTAATAAAGATTAGACTGGGAGATGTTTAGAGTTAAAAACACGAAGGAAGTTTAAGATTAACAGATGGTTAGATAATACTAGATACATTTAATAGATAGATTGTTGGAAAGGCTGTTGACATGGGAAACCATGCCCTCTCCTGGCGGAAAGCTCACCTTGGCCACTAAAAACATGAAACTGCCCAGTTAGAAATTAGAGATGGCAAATCCGGATCCTTTTACGGACTCAAGGTCTTTTGAGTCAGTCATTGAAATATGAGTATATTGAGTCATAAGAGTCACCAAGAGCGTAGAAATCCTACCGGTGAAACAGGAGCACATAGTCTCCAACTTCAAATAAATTCAAATTTTAGAGCTACTAGTGAGGGCGGCAGTCCACTGTTTGTGTATTCGTAATTTTGAATTTGTCACTTAAGATTTGCATTTCACGAAACTAAACTAACTTTACATTAACCTCCGCTACACGTTTGTGTCTTAATGCTTGTTTATTGCAGTATTTGGCTTCTTACTGGGTGAAGTCGTCAATTATCTGTGCACAGTATGCATCTACGTTATTACAAACAGAGCTGACACTCACTGAGTCTGAAAACCATGACGAGTCCGAAACCGTTTGCTGTTTCGCGCTGTGTGGAGTAATCCACTCATTCGTGCATGATGAGTCTGGATCTGCTATACCGTTACGGCTCAGAGTCCGCACGAGTCTGCTATGTTTTGCACAGTGTGTCAGGATTTGCGAATCTGAGTCTGCTGTTGACTCGTGCATGATGAGTCTGGATCTCTGGATCTGCTACGGTTACGGCTCTGAGTCCGCACAAGTCTGCAGGAAGTTTCACTGATCCGCGTCCCCTCCCCTGAGCCAAAAGATAACTTCTGGCAGCTATCCTACATGCTAAAGGCTAGGCAGATGGACTGGGGTACGTTGTAATGTGATTTTTACATGTTATAAGGAGAGTAGCGAGTGCAGCAATTTAGTTTTAATTTGTACGTCACACAAGGTGTAGGACTCAAAGGACTCGGGTTAATGGTGAGGGGAGACTCGTCACTCCCAGCTCATTACTAGGATCCGGGTTAATGATCCGGATGAATCAGGACTCACCCATCTCTATTAGAAATAGGTACAATTATTGGTGTATGAAGAGAGGTGGATACAGCGTTGGAGGCGGGACCCGTTCAATGGCATTTTAGTTTACTAACTTAGACGGTTGATGCAGCTAGGCTAAATATGCTCATGTTAGCACACTTTTAGTTTTCACAACATTTGCATCTTATGTTTAGATGACAATAAGCCTCTTAAGTTGCCTCTTTAGTTGATGGTGCTATCTGTGATATATCTGTCATGTATATTTATCTGTTTGTAAGTAAGATATGACCTGTCACTTTTTGTTCTAGACCACACACATACACACCCCTGGCTGTCACACTGTGCTGTTGTGTTGGAATTTAAATCAGTGAAGAGTAATCAACTGCTACCAGGCATCTACTGAACTTTCACCTTTAGAGTACAGCCTAACCTGAATGCCTCAATTGATGGAATGACAGGATGAAATTGTTGAGAAAAGTTAGGTTTTTTGTTAAAAAGATAAAGTGAAAGCTGTTAATGGGCGAGTAGGTGGTCTGTTGTATTGATTTGAGTGCGAAAATAGATATAATAGCCAATTTGCTCATTATAACTGGTACATTTGGAGAAGGTTTCGAGATTGCTTTAACTTGCGAACAAGGTATATCATTTAAAGAAAGCCTTTATACAGGCTTTCTCTCTCTGCAGGTGAGGAAAACAAAAGCCATTAACACAGCGTGATCGTTTCCGGTAAGTGCCAGTGACACACTTCATGGCTGAACAAACTCATAGGCAGTGCCACTATTAAGGTGTTACATAAGAAATCTAGATACAAAACTTGACAAACAACACAGTTTGACAGATCAATGATCTCTCAGAAAGCAGTTAAACGACCAAAGACATGGGCAAAAAGATGGAAGCTAAACAAACGCCAGATTGAGATAATCATAAAATGAATTCAGTTCTATTAAACTTTGAATATGGTCTAAAGTCGCTGCTATGGGATTTACACAATTAACTCCCTTTGCGTCACATAGGATCGTCCATCTCTGTCAGAAAGCTTAAAATATACCACTCTTATGGGCTTAAATAAATCCACAGATTAGGGTGGATATTTAAAATAAATCTGCATTCATCTTGCTGCTGGTCTGCATGCAAGACTGCAGAGAATTGATCACAGTCCGCCGTGTAAATGATCTCTGGTCAGCTCTGCGCTCCCCTGAGTCCAACACCAGCGAAACACTGGCTGTGTTAAGGAAGTGCAGTCAGATAAAGAATATCCTCTTCTTCTCGGCTTCACATAAAGCACTTGACTAATTATTCTGCACACATACACACTGGCCAATGATGCCTATAAAATGAACACAAATCTCCCTCACACACACATGTATACCACACCAAATGCAGACACTTTTTCTCTCACACAAATAGAAACATCTGCAGAAGCTCAATAACATTTTCTCAGCATGAAGCACATGTGAAAGGAAGAGGGAGAAAAAGGAGGTGAAGGAGTGATGGTCTTTACCTCCTGCAGACGGATGTTTCTCCCCCCGCGCTGTGTTACTCTCATCTGTCTGTTTCCCTCGCTCTGGATCCCCGCTCGCCGGAGAAAGAGAGTGAAAGAGAGCTAGAGTGTCTCTCCCCCTCTGAGACTCTCTGGGCTGTAGCATGGAGCATAAAAGCCCTCCTCTGTTCAGTCTGCCAACACCTCTCTCCCCTCTCTCTCTCCTCCTCCTCCTCTGTTCCATTTCCTCATATTGCTCTCATCCCATTCAGCTATTTTGTTTCATTTCCTCTCGAACCCTCCTTCTGTATGTACATATTGTTTTCTCTCTCTGCCAGCTTGCAGCCCCTGCCTCGATTAGCTGCTGTTGCCAAACACACACAAACACTCAAGGTATGATTGGCTCTACACTTATTTCTGCAGTTTGCTCACGCTCACTCTCTCATCATCTCTCTCTCTTTATGTATAAAGATAAAGGGAAGCTTAAGGATAATCTGTTTTAACATCATTTATTTCTCATTGATGTCCTATTTGGTATCACTATACTAACTGATTAAGCATACAGGAAAACATCCTTAAAGGGGCCCTATTCTGCTCAGGTGTATATCAGTATGTAGTGTCTCTACTGACATGTCTCCATGCTTTAATGTTCAAAAAGCTCTTTATCTCTCTCATACTGTCTGTGCTGCAGCACCTCTTTTCACCCTCTGTCTGAAACCAGAGCCCAGTCTGCTCTGATTGTGTCTGTGGGAGAGAAACTCCCTCTGGAGGGAACACCTCTGCCTTTGCAGACCATTTACATGCAAACAAAAACCATTTACATGAAAAAAAACAACATCATAACGCACTACAGGAAAGGGAAAACCCTAAAAGGCATAATAGGGCCCCTTTAAACAGGAAGGTGAGTTCAAATATCTTCAAAACAGAAAATAATACTGGAAATGAAAAAGGGTTTCATTGAAATGCGTGCTCACAGGGCAGAGAACAGGATCCCTGAGAACTGCGCTCATCTGTGTTGTAAAGTGAGCAAACTGCACAATGTGTTAAATATTCCATATTCTAAGAGCAGGCAGCACAGAGAGCATCATTAAATGCATGTAGTGGTTTACAATCACACTGAACCTATTTAGCAAGCACTGTGTATCTGTGTCAGAGAGCTGTGTGAATAAAGTCTCCAGAGTCCCATTCATGTCCCCATTTATTTCTCTCTGAATGTAATTGTAGTCTAATTCTTGACATGTGCAGAGATCCCATTTTTTTGGCACATATTTTTTAACCAATTTAAATTTATTTCGTTTTTTTAATCACCAATGTTATCCCAGGTGCTCCTAGTGATGCCGGTCGGCTTCATGCGTCATACAAGCATCACTGCAGGCTACATTCATGTATTAAATCGATGTTAATCCATGCGTGTGGATGTGGAATTAACGGACGTGACGTTGTGCGATTGCGTTGCCAGGCAACAGCTTTGGTTCATGTTAATTTACAAACTCTTCAACTACAACCGTAGTTATATTACGGCCTATCTACCAATTGGATCACATATAAAAGTCAGCCGAATTAGTGTTGATACTGCAAGGAGACGTAATGTGTGAAAATAAATGTAAGATGTTGTTTAATTGCTGATATATTTATGATCCACGTCACGTCATGGATTAACACATTAATGTAGCCTTTGTTTCTGCTAAAAGAGGTGTCGACCAGCTGGGGCAACAAGAAAATCGGCGTAATCGAGTGTGACTATTCAAAAATAAATTATTATTATATTAATATTGACAATAACAACCGACCGTCGGGGTAGCATTTGCTTGGCATTTCCGGGTATTTCTCCACTGGTTAACATGGGTTAACAATACTGTGTAACTGTCACGTTTGAAGGGACGAAATCGCCACATCTTCACGTCTCCCAGCATGGTCAATTGTCACATGTTCACGTCTTGCCGTGATACCGGGTTGCAGCTACAGTGGCCGGCAACAGCAATGACAAATAGCATTAATGTTATGGTCAAAATGAACAGATTATGGTATTTTTTATGTTTTGAATGCAAGGCAAGTTTATATATATATATATATATATATAGCACCTTTCAACACAAGGAAATTGAAAGTGCTTTACAAACATGAAAGACATTAAGAAAATTGCATTTAAAATCAGTCATTAAAAATAAAAGCTAATAAAAGAAACATTAAAAGAAAAACACATGAATAAAAGTTACAGTGCAGTCTAAGATATGAATAGTTCAATTAAAAGCAGCGACAAAAAGAAAAGTCTTCAGCCTGGATTTAAAAGTAGTTAGAGTTGCAGCGGACCTGCAGGTTTCTGGGAGTTTGTTCCAGATATTTGGAGCATAATAACTGAACGCTGCTTTACCATGTTTAGTTCTGACTCTGGGGACAGAAAGCTGACCAGTCCCTGAAGACCTGAGAGATCTGGATGGTTCCTAATTTAGCAGGAGGTCAGAAATTTATTTTGGGCCTAAACCATTCAGTGCTTTATAAACCAGCAGCAGTATTTTGAAATCTATTCTTTGACACACAGGAAGCCAGTGTAAAGACTTCAGAACAGGAGTGATGTGATCCACTTTCCTAGTGTCAGTGAGGACTCGAGCAGCAGCGTTCTGAATTAGCTGCAGCTTTCTAATAGATTTTTTAGAAGTAACGGGGCAGAAACCCTCCTTTTTACGCAACCGTCCAGGCATCAAACGGTGACACATATTCAGTTGCCAGTTACTTTGGCAATAGGTCAGGGATATCTAGATACTTTACAAGGTTTGACATAATGAATTGTGCTACTTTTAATGCAAGTGTGACCTGCCCCACCGGGGAGGGGGGGGCTGCGATAATAAAAGGGGGTTAGGGTACTTAACGCTAACCTGGGTTCCCCAATACGAGCCCTTAGGACAAGTCACGCAGATAAGAATAAAAGGATGGGCAGGGACGCGGCCTCAAGTTCAAATGTTTACAAACGTTTATTATATAAATAATCAAGTAAAAGTTCAGTAGTACAAAATGCAGATTAAAACTTATTCAGCTTTCTCAGTCGACACACATAAGTCCCACAATTGAAGGCTGGCTCTGACAAGGAGAGAATAACTATAATAATTACAATATCACACATAATGATAGTTAAAAAGTGATTCTTCTGGCCAACTGCTGAGGGTTTCCACAATATCACCACGTGTAGCATCAAACACTCACTACAAATCAACCATATCTGCATGCAAAAAGTGCCCAGCAAAACACATGCTCCACTCCACAGTATGGCCAGGATCGTCACTGAAGAAGTATAAGCACAGACAGTATTAGACCTTGTGGGACAGAGTGGGTCGTTACAATGAGGGTGCTGTCGCTTTAAAAATTAAATCACTAGTTTGTACACAATACAACAAACTAGTCAATAAGCAAAACATAGAAGGTAGGCAAAACGGTAGCAAACTAATCCTAAAATAAATGGAGAAAGGAGATTAGAAATTGTATAAAGACTTATATGAATGTCCTTCAGTGTACATACAATTAATCTCCTACCTCTGATGCAAACGCATTCACTCAATTATCACCTCACTGGACACCTCTGCAACGGTGATTCTCTGCACAGTCTCTGCTGGGGCTGTCAAGAAGCCTGTCATTTACAGGCCACATGTTAACAATTCAGTGGTAGGCCTACACTGAATGTTACAAATCCTAACAGCAGCTTCACATACCTCTATAGGGGGAATACACGCCTATCAGCCAGACACCGATAACTGGAACAAGAACACTCGTAATAGTCACAGCTGATTTGGGTGAGGAGTGAGTGGGCATTTAAAGTGTAGCGGGAGATGCTGAACTACATACAGCTGCGCGTTTTCCTTATATGGAAGGGCCAGCTGACTAAAGAAGGGGGGGGTGTGTCTTAAAGGGCCAGTGGCGGCCCAGCCACGTGAAGAAATGATCTGACAGCTAATCCTCAGAAAACAGTAGCGCCGGCTACACAAGCAACGATGTTTTCAAATCTGTAATCAAAAAGGTCCGCAAAAACGCTATCGAAGCAGTTCCTGCCATTGCTACATAGTTCAAACAGTAACAACGGACCATTTTTCTTAGCGGATGCATGTCAATTTAAAAATAAATAATAGCCTACTATTTTTTAAATCAATAAAACCATTTTATTTTTTTATCTGATCTGCCTGTCAGGTGTTCTTTTACCCATAATGACCGTCTCGCTGCACATTATCCCTTACATGTATTCTAAAGGTGATAGTAGGCTGATTTAGTAACTGTTTTAATGTGACTGTTGAAACTCAGGTCAGAGTCCATGACTACACCTAGATTTCTGGCTTTATCTGTTGTTTTGAACATTGCAGACTGAAGCTCAGCGCTAACTTTTAAACGTTCTGCCTTGGCTCCAAAAACCATTACCTCAGTTTTATCTTTGTTTAATTGGAGAAAGTTCTGACACATCCAGTCATTGATTTGTTCAATGCACTTACTCAGTGTTTGAATTGGAGCATAGTCTCCTGGTGAAATTGTTACGTAAATGTGTGTGTCATCTGCATAGCTATGGTAACTTATTTTGTTGTTCTTCATTATCTGAGCCAGTGGTAGCATGTAGACGTTAAAGAGAAGAGGCCCCAAGATGGAGCCTTGAGGTACCCCACATGTCATATTTGTCAACTCAGATGTGTATTTACTAGGGCTGTCAAGTTAACGCGTTAATAACGCGTTAACGCAAACAATTTTTAACGCCACTAATTATTTTAACGCGATTAACGCATGGTATTTTTTTCCTCGGCCGCCCCGTAGTTTCAGAGCGCATCGAGTTTAAAATACATCTACAAGCTGATGCTGACAGCCCCGCTCCTGCCGCCCCGCTTGTGGCAGACCACACTTCCACGCTCACCGGCAGGCACCGACTGGCTATTGGGAGGACCGGGAGGGGTGTGTGTATGTGTGGCCCGAGCGAGCGAGAGAGGGTGTCCTTACGTGCATTGTTGTTGTTAGCATCTGGTGCTAGCTAGCTGCGCTAACGGATATGGAGCTGTTGATTGCAGCGTCGAGGCAGCTCCCGTTCGAGCATATGCCTTGAGTTGCACATAGCTCCAACGATCCATCACACACACAACACACACACACACACACACAACACACACACACACACACACACACACACAACACACACACACACACACACACACACACACACACACACACAC